CTCGCCAGAAGTCAAAGTTGCCTACACTCATTCTAAGGTTCGTGCGATTTTACGACGAATTGTCAATTCCGGTGTGTTGCACGCGCGACTTTTGATAGAAAAAACCTACACGCGCCATAACTTAAAAGAACGTGTTAGCGGAATGATTCAAATCTCTATCACTTTGCATACATTCTTGGGAACAGAAAAAATTACTAAGAGCAAACACTCTAAGTACAGTGTTCATTCCGTGCAATGGGGCATAAATAAAAGGTTCTGGTGGAAAAGACATTTTATTTTTTACCACTGATGACAAGCAAACAGGTTATATGGGTACCCGGTTAAAAATATATTGATAACTCTTTTAATTAATACCAGTTCTAATTTAAAGGAGAAAGTTATGAGAATAAAATAAAAGTTGTCTGTACCACGAAGCATGCCTTCACTGTTTAGACTGATAGTCCTAGAGCTTTTGGAGCATTTATTCGAATATCTTATGACGATAAGCCCGCCAACCACCCCACCCCGCGCTATGCTGTTTTCACTTAGCGGATGGTCAGCGGTCACGTTTATGAGGTAAACAAACCGATCGATTCCTGATCACCGTTCTTGTCGATCGGAAAATCAAAATACCAGCGTGATATTGCCGCGAAGATGAAACAGTTATGTTACTTGATTCGTGCTTCATATTCGAGTCGAAGCTTGGGTGGCACAGGTTATTTTTTGCGGTGGAATCGACGAGGGGAATTCAGAAAGTTGTAGTGTTTGAATTGTTGGAATAAATGGTCGCATGGGGATGGTAAGTTTAACGAACAATTTCAAATTTTTCCGCTTGAATTGAAAGTACAGTTCATTTGAATTGCTTTCGTATGTATTTCTGACGGTTTTAGATTTACCTGCTTGATTTATATCGATTACGCTTCATGTTGACAAGTCCCTCAAAATGGCGGCCAAACTTGGAGATTGCTGAAAATTAGGTAAGTTTACGGAGCTATAAAGTTCTCGTAAAGGTCGGGCCGCAAAGTTTTTTTCTGTAGTTACCTTTACTATGGCACCTACTTCCTAGCTATGTTAGCTGAATCAGTTAAGAACGCCTCACTTTTTCAAAAATTTACCTTGAATTTGATCGGTTTTGGCGTGTTTGATTTAGGCGAACCGATAAGGTGTCATTCAAGTCTCCCTGTTTCCTTGATTGAAACGTGATGTTTACGAAAGTCGCCTCGATAGATAAGATAGAGTCAATATACATGGCTGTGGTATTTGTTTTTTGCTGAGTTCTGTAGTTTTTTGTAAATTGTCCTCCAAAGTTGTATGAAATTAAAGTCTTGAAAAGTGTCACGACAAGCCTTCGCTCGAGTGAAATTTAATTTCCGTAAAACTCTGAAAAATAAAGAGATCCGATCAAACTGATTGTGGTTTTAGTATAGGTACATAAATGTCTTACAACACACGAAAAACGAGCGAAATCCGTGTCTCAAGCAAAATCGACCGGACCGCTCTTACAGAGACACTCTCTTAAACTTTCGAAGGCACTGATGAATGCTGCGTAATCGAAGTGGTTTCCAGAGAAAACCGGGGGCTGCTGTGCTGGGAGCAGACTCATTCTTTGTTGTTCGGCGACAAGCTTCACCACCGAGGTTAACTCCTCTGTTCTGTCGGAAATCTCCGGCTTTGATTCACGTGATGGTGATTCACCAGCATGCGTGCCTTGGCGTACAACTGGGCCATTTGGGGGTTCAAAGGGCGGAGCCTTTGGGTTTAAGATCTCGTTATCTTGCAAAGGTTTCGTTTCACTAGGTTCCTCTTTGGGCGATAGCTTGGGTTTGACGTCTAGAATTGGTGTTTCATGCTTCGGGATCTGGGGGAAATCCTCCTGCCTTTCTTCTTCTTCGATTTTGCGCATGGTTTCTTCCTCAGCCTTTGCCTTAGCTAACTCCATTACTAGCTTCTTATACTCTGCTTCCCTTTCTAGAAAGTCCATTTCTACTTGAAGACACGCTGCCTTGGCCGCTGCCTTTGCTCTTCTAGATCTTACTGAAGAGGAGGAAGAACGCTTGGATAATTTTGACGAAACCAGAGACATTTTATCGCTTGTTTGTCTTTCCACACTAAGCAAGGCTTCGTTAATTCTAATGCGACATTGGAAATGTTCGCGATCCCGAATATCAAACCACTCGTACGCTTCATCTGCTTCCTTAGTGTCATGCAATTCTTTGTAATAATTGTGATGAGCGTCATTCATCCTATCCCTACACAAGTCTAGACTGTCACGCTCTTGCTCTAGGACTCTTGCGTCTAATTCTTTCATCGATTCGAGTAAAGAGTTTACCTTCGTTATCTGCCTCCTCAGAGCGACTCCTGCGGCCTTTCGCTCCTCAACAAGCCTTTCCAGGCGAAGTGACTCGCCCTTTTCGGTAGGGATTCTTTCTCTTCTGTCCCTTTCAGTCGTTTCAACGCCGACTTGATGGTCTTCGTTCTGTTCGCTCGTGACTTCTTCCATCGTAGGATTTGCCTGCGCCATGGCTATTGTATGCAGTCGACAAACTCCCGCTAATATCTTGAATTCCTCCAATCTTCACTACAGCGACGCTTGATCGCCGCTAGCTGGACCGTACGAATCTCACTGATCGACACAACAAATATTGCCCCAATTTCTTTCATGGAACGCCTCCTTTATTAAATGTCGTATTTGACCGTGAAGCTAAAAATAATTGATTCACAAAATTGGGGACAAGAAATTAGCTATAGAAACACTCGAGGTAAATTAAACTTACATTGTTGCCGGATCTGGCGAGAGTTGACACAAAAAGGACCTTTCCTTCCTTCGATAAAAACGACAGACAATTTCTTTCTATTAAACCACGAGTGCTTGCGAAATCGATCGAATTATTGAATTGCACAATAGATCCGTTCTGTTTGGAAATGCGATACCACTTACGGAACGCGTGACGAGGCACCTAGTGTGACTTTTACAGATTATTAATTAAACGATTACTAAATCAAAACAAGGGATAAACCCGTGCCTTAGGGGCACTTACACAGAGATTGTACCGAGCTTTAACAGCCAAAGCTACTCTCAAGTATCTGGATTTTTTACCAGATTTAGTCAAAGGTTATAACGCGTCTGTACACAATGCTACAGGTGTAGCACCTAAGAATGTCACCATGTATAACGATGGAAAAGTGTGGAAGAAATTGTACAGTAAAAAATTGTTCGGTGCATCCCGTATTAGTAGAAAGTCTACCTTAAAAGCGGGGGATAAAGTCATGTTGAGCAAGGTTCGTAGAACCTTTAAGAAAGGGTATTTACCAGGCTGGACAGAAGAAATATTCATCGTAGATAGAGTATTAAATACCTATGTACCATCTTACAAGATCAAAGAATACGATGAAACACCTGTCAAAGGTACGTTTTACGAGGAAGAGTTGCAAAAAGTCGATATGGGTGATAAAGACACGTTTTTTCCGGACCGAAAAAGTATTAAAGAGGAAAGACGGGAAAGCTTTGGTCAAATGGAAAGGTTGGCCTTCCAAATACGACAGTTGGGTAGACGCGAAGGAAATAGTCGATTTATGAGTCATGCAAGGTAATCAGGACACGTTTTATCTCACACTTCCTAGTAACGGATATGACACTATCTACAGAGATAACACTCCAGGTAGATTCAAGGCCAAACTTCTCAAGACGATCTCTTTACCGGGAAGAGAATGGGAAGTGGCCTTGTCGAGCATTTCATTCCCATCTGCCTTATCTTCAAGTATTCGCAATGATTACCGAAGCTTGGTAGACTTGGATTTCATGTGTGGATTAAATCTTAGCATGGATGGTGTAAAAGATCACCACGGTGATTTCATTTCCAGAAAAGAGTATTGGATCCAAGGCAGTAAGATGAAGTATGAAATGGGGAGAAAAGAGAAAGATCTATCAGCTTGCAAAGATGGTGTAAATTTTTGGAATAGAATGATTGCTTTACTCACTTACAGACTGCACAGCAAATTACTCATCAAAGCAAGTGGTATTATAACCAACGATAAAACTTTTCTTTCAGAGAAAAAACATTACAGATGGCCAGAATTTTCATGGGAAAACGTGGGTGGTAAATACAGGTTGAAGATGGACAATGGTGGGATCGATGGAGCGTACAGATCTGGACGTGAAAATGCTTTCTACCTCAATCTAGAAATAGCTAAAGCCTTTAATTTAATCATGCCTAGACAAGATGGAAAATATGATTCTTATTATCAAGGTTATGAACTTACTAGTCATGTAACTGTGGAACATTTTAGAGATCCTATAAGCCAAACTTTAGATTGGCTTGATGGTACTAAATTGTGGGAGATCATTGATGCAAAAGAATCAGGATTTAAAGCAGAAGGACATAGCAGCACTTCCAAATTTATGAAATTTGAAAGTTCAGTCAATTGGTACTTTTACGAACTGGGAAATGCCTATTACAGTCCAATGTATCAAAATCGACCCTTGTACGTGTACACGGATTTGGTGCAGACACAGTTTATGGGTAGATCGGAAACAGATCTTTTGAGAGAAGTGGAATACGACGGGTCTATGAATGGAAATGTCATAAAGAACAGTTACGAACCTCAGAATTTACAGTTTATTCCTGTTAGAAAAAACATGTTTGATATTGTAGAAATAGGAATCAGTGAAGTCGATGGAACTCAAGCTGAATTTGTAGGAAAATACTGTAGTCACGCTATGTTTCAGAAAGCGTGTTTATAAATAAAACCCTATTTACCAAGCAACACACACTTTTGGTTTTATCACGATGTGATTACCAAGATGAATTTCTACCTGACATTACCTAGCAATGCAAGTTCACAGATTTATTCTGAAAATAATCCCGGTCATTACAAAGTCACACTACCAAGAAATATTTTTCTACCAGAAGGTGATTGGGAGGTAGCGTTGGCTAGTATTTCTTTTCCGGATATGGTGCCTCGAGTGGACGATTTTATAGATGCGCGAGTACCTATATTGGTTCGCGCGAACATACATACTAAGATCACCAACAGCGACGGAGTACCCATAGCCGTGAAAAGATGGAAAAATAATAGGTGGAAAACAGCCCTAGACAAGAAAGGAGCTACTCAATATTGGCACAATGCAAAGTGTAATGCCGTGGTGGACTTGCAAAAGTCAGATTGTACGGTATTTCCTACTACCGTACAAAGCGGGTATGAAATTTGGTCGCGTTTTATAAATTTAGTCACGAATCAAATGTACCAGGAGATGGCAGATATCTACGACTATGGCGCAGGGTATATGTATAACCGAGGAAGGAGGTTTGAAGGATGGAAAGATGAAAGTGGAAAAGGGAAATTTCCTCATTTCGAATGGGTGTCGAATGCAAACAGATACGATTTGAAGATCAACAATGAACATGTGCAATACAAGGATGCGTTCGACCCCGATTACTTGCATCCTGTTCCAGACCGAGATAGTCGATCTTTGGAAGAATTGACGAAATCCTGGCTAGCTAATAACCACGTAGACATTGAACTGGAGTTGGCTAAAAAATTCCACTTGATAGAAGAAAAAACAAAAAGTGATGTCACTAAAATCACATGTTTGTCAAGTAGCGTCAGAATAGAACATGATTCGCTCCTGTGATTGAAGGGCTACTTTACGTTGAAGATTTCACCACTAACTGATTTTTGCGTACATGACCGTACATGGAATTTATTTGCACTTGTAGTAATATAGTCAACTGAAAAATTAAATTAATATGACAAAGAAGGTTATTACACATGTCGATTTTGGTTGAAGCGACGGGAAAAATATTATACTTACAATTTGTGTTCCATATGCGGCTAGTAAGCTTCGAAGTGCGATCTGTGGTGACACTTTTGAAATGTAAGTTGCGTAACGAACTTCTAGGTTTTTAAATAATTAGTCACCTGATCTATTTTTGCCGCGTTGCGCTAAGATAATTAAATATTCACAAAAAAATGACAAACGGCTTGAGAAATGCAAATCACTCCGCCCCAGTGCGGAAATTAGGTCTAAATAATTAGTTCTAATTGAGCAACGACTATAATGGCTTAAGTGTTCAATGTTCAATAAAGAAGTGTCAGAAAATGGTGTTAGAGTCCATTTCTACTATCGACTAGCTTGAGCAATCCGCATTCAGTTCGTCTTGAGTGGCTATGAGACATAACTTGTGAATTGGTCTGTCATACTCTCCGTCTCTTGTCTTGATTCTCACTTTTCGGACAAGTCCGTCGTTTCCAGGATATGTGCCTACAATACGCGCCATTTTCCATTCACATCTTTTGTGTTTGGGGTCCAGCTCCAATACAAGATCACCGATCTGGATGTTATCTCGCACGCGAAACCACTTGTTCCTTGGTAACAAGTTTGGGGCGAAATACTTCATCCAGCTCTTCCAGAAATCAGCAACTCTGTTTTGGGCGCTCCTGAGTAATTGTCGCGGATTGGTTCTTTCCTCTGGTTCTGGTTGTGGTGCTGGATTGTAGTGGCCTAGAAGTAGGTCGTTTGGAGTGATCGGTGGGGCCTCCCAGATATCGTCGGAACTGGGGTACAGCGGTCGTCCGTTGACCATGTAGGTGATTTCTGACAGAATTGTTCTCCATTGTTCCTCGGAGTAGGCTTGGTTCTTGCAAGTGGCGTTAAATGCTTGTCTGACTGACTTAATTAGGGTTTCAACAACTCCGTTTTGGTGACTCGCATGTGGTGTATTCCATTCCCATCTGAGCTCGCAGCTAAATTTATCAGAGAGGACACTCTTTACCCCAGGAATATCCCAGTTCTGCGTGATTTCCTTTAGGTAGCCTTGGGCACCCACGAAATTTGTACCACGGTCTGACCAGCAAACATTAGGGTGTCCGCGTAGGCAGGCAAACCGTCGAAAGGCCATTAAGAATGCGTCTGAAGTTTTATCGGTGACCAGCTCAAGATGAATCGCACGTGATGTCATGCAAGCGAAGATGATCACTTGTGCCTCTTTCAGAGTTTTGCGGCCGAGCTTGATCTGTACTGGCCCAAACATGTCCATAGCAGTGTTTGAGAATGCCGGGAAGCCAGCTGCTACTCTTAGGTTTGGAATCTGTCCCATGAGCTGGTTGAGAGGCCTCTTCCGTAGTTTTCTGCATATGACACACTTTGAAGTGACGGTCTTAGCCATTCTGCGGAGTCCAATGATCCAGAATCTTTTTCTGGCCTCGTGGATTAAACTCTTATAGCCACAATGCCCACGTCGTTCGTGGAGGTCACGCAGAAGCAAGATCACAAAGGGGTGGTCTTTTGGCCAGATGATAGGTTTTCTCAACTCTTCCGGGAGACATCTGACATCTTCAAGTCGACCATGCGCACGAAAAAGGCTATCTTCATCCTTCTTTGCTACCAGTTTCTTATCCAAGCTGTCTTCGTTGACGTGAAATTGACTCCACTTCAGAAGATGGGTCTCGGCAGCCTGGTCTAACAACTTTTGCGCTTCCTCTTTTACGACCTCGAAGCAACCCTTTTTCATAAACCCCCTT